GATGCTTCATCTACATCCTTTCATACCGAAGGTGAGAAGACCTGTATAGTCTCTTAAGCACCATCCAAATCCACTGACCATACCATAATCAATCCAAGATGCATCGATTTGGCATGTCGAGATTTGGAGGTTGTGGGGGGGGGGGAGGCATAAAACGTGTAAAACTGATTGTTGGCTGTTATGATTTAGAATGTAAAACTCAAAGATTTATCAAGAACAAACTGAATTTCTCGTAAATCTGAAAGTGTTTACAAGCCAGAAAATATTCGAAGGAGCTTTCTCTCTCCTCTCACAACTTATTGATCAACAAACTTGATAAAAGAAATCATAACGGAAAGCAATTGTTAAATAGATCCTCTGGCACATGGCTTGTCTCATCAATGTGTCGTGTACTTCTAGAAGGACATACACGTCACCCAATCTCAAGGACCATTATCAATCTTCTATTCTTATATCTGATTCTCTGCCTCTTTTACTGATAGACAATGGGAGCCCTCTCATTCATGTCCTAACATTACCCCTGCCTTTGAAAATAACCTTGGCCTCAAGGTTGGAAAGCAAAGACCGACCTCTTTTCCATTAAATGAGGATCTCTTCCTGTAGAACGACTGCTGAACTTGCAGGAGCAAACAATTCGGGAACCAATTCTGTAGATGGCGGCATTTGAATTACCATGTTATCATGCAAACTCTCATATCCCATGATTCCTCTACAGTTGATTGTGGAGTTGTGTCTTCTGAAATCATTTTAGCCCCAAAACCACTGTGTTTAGAAGCTTTAAAATGAGAAGCAAAATCCATGGCCTTCTTATCATAAATAAGCACTGACAAGGAACGTCCTTGAATATTTTCATCCCCTTGGACTGTACATAAGCCACTTTCCACTTCCTTGTAACTCCTGGCCAGAACAAAATCTGAAACAAACATGACACATCATTCACCACCTTCTTTTCTTCTTTAATCCCATCAGACGACTCATCATCAAGCACTTTGTGACAATCTGCCTTGTCTCCAATCGACGACCTCTTTTTCTGCACCCGAATCTCCCATAACAACAACTTGTCAAGCAAAATGTAGCAACACTTCACTCTTCTACATCTCTTCATTATCCTCATGTTGTGATTTTCAGAAATACTACCTATGATCTCTTTGCCTAGATAAACTTTTTTTCTAAATACTTAGGCAGCATTATACCCTTCATAGCTTCATATGTATCAAGGTTGCAAAGCAAAGACTGATCTTTCCATTTGATACCTCTATACTCCCATTTCTTCCATAACTCCAACCCAAGTAAGCACCCCTAACCGTTAG